CGCCTCCTTGGCCCCGTCCCAGTTACTTCCACAGCTTTTGAACGCGTTCTTTTGGGTCTGCAGCCTTGGGACATAATTCTGGACTTCAGCCGTCCCCATAGACGGGTAGAGTGAACCTGTCAGAGCGCGACCCAGGTTGGATCTTGTTAGAGATTGCGCTATTGCTGGGATTGTCGAATTATTGTTTCTCTGGCTGTTAGGTGGTATTGTTGCAATGAAGGACTGGGGTGTTTGGCTTCCTGGCCCAGATCCTGCTAGGCTCGCCCGTGCAGTGCTCGTATCCGCTGTGATTATGGGTGCTGGGAGGCAGTCAAAATGAGCTTCAGCATCGTCAGAGCCTCCGCGTCGCTGTTGGTTTTGCGGTCTAATGGATTCTCTGTCATCGAATTTACATTCTGCGAATTTGAAGCCGCCTGCCATTTCATATCTGGAATTCGAAGCTTCGAGCTTGCCGGTCGAGTTCAAAAACTGGCTGGGATGGCCATGGTTTGGTTGCTGCTGCAGACCATATGAAGGTACTTTTCCATACCATGCACCTTGTGTCGTCGAGAAGGTTGATATCGGGGATTGTTTCGGTATATGTACTTGGCCGGGTGTAATGGATGTCTCTCGATGAGCCCATCGTCGGGGCAAAGCCATCTCTCTAAACAGACTATTCGAACGAGATTGCTATCCCCTCTCAGTACTGAGGCACCTGGAACGGATATTGCGCAAACAGTTTCAGCTCTGATCCTCTGAGAAGGTCGTTTGTCTGATGATAACCTCGACAATTCTTTAAGAATGTGACTTTTGTTGAATGGAACTAAAGCGAATTCTGGATACTTTCGACAGATTGCTGTGGAGCTAGCTAAAGCTTCATAGAAGGGGGATGTGTCCAGCGAGATACTGGTACGGATTCTGATAAACAAGCAATCCTCTTAACTGGAAGATTGTAATATTGTTTCATTAGTATTCAGTTGCGTTTGAATATGGCATGCTTGGTGGACCATGGAAGCTTACCCAAAGCTTCCTCATTTATCAGGTCAGCAGGGAGCGCTGAGGGCTTCATCTGTTATCATTTCTATTCGAGTAGCGTTTGAGTCTTGGGCTCCCCAGAATGTAATACTCAAAACAATATCCCAAGTCCAATATGGAGAATCAGTATGGCAAAGGAATGGGAGAAAGGAGTAGATTCTAGTTTCTAGGCGACGGTGACCTCATTAAATGACTTTAGATTCTACGGTCTATCGCGGAGATTTACAACTATATTGACCGTTAAAACTTTCTTTCGCAAACTTCCTCGCGCCGGCATGTGGCACTTGCAGCTGAGACGACCTGACCCAATTTTCTCCTCAGTTTCGAAAACATGGAAAGCCGTTGAGCGGCCACGACCACTGGATCACGTTCCCCGGTTTGCCCTGAAGGTTAATCCTAACTGCTTTGTTTGGGTCAGGGAAGCAAACAGTACACGATGGATCGACCCGACTCGCCAGAATAGATGCCACCCCATTCTCAAATTCGAATTAAGGGAGTAATAAACGAGGAATGTGTCTCCAGTGATGAACTAGTATGAGGCCCCTTACATATATAGCGGCTACTCACATACGCCAATTGCACACATTTGTTAGGGTTCGATGATGCTAAATGCAAGCCATCGTTGAGGACAACTCTCTAGAACTTTCGAGGAACATGCCATGCCCTTCGATGCTGCAACTTCGGTCATGCGTGTGCGGAGACCGTCTGCCTCCCTGAGGACCAGTCTCCACGCGAAAAATGACACATCAGTTAAGCTTACTAACCTTAGTTTTGCTGCCATATGGCATGACTGGTTGCGTGTCTAACAAACTTTGGCATCCCGCGATCTAAGCGCCACATACCTTTGTAGATCGTGTTGTCACATCTTGCCAGATGGTCTACTCTCGCAATGCTGTCGGCCGTCGGGGGAAGCCGCGTTTCAGGTCCAACCCTTTCTGAGCACACTTCTCCCTTGGAGGCATGATTTCTTGCAACTGTTTCTGCACTCGCTACTCGGAAACCCAGCAGCAGATGTCCTAGCATTTATTGACCTGTGATGCTCCGGAACATCGACTCTTGTGTAATCAGGAAATGCGCTCTCTTTTCAGCGTTGTCCTGTCCCCGAGCGTGCTCCAGCGTTCACATCTGCTGGCTGCAGTCCAGAACAAAGCGCTGATCAACCTTTAGGGCTGCTTTTTTCCCGCCATGTTTGCTCGTGGCACCTTGTGGCTGTGCTGATTAATTGACTGCCGCCGTTGCCTCACGGTTTCTTTTCTTTTTCTTCTTGCTTTTTTCTTCCTTATTGCTGTTTTATGTCAAGCGGACCGCTTAGGCTAAGCCGATGAAATTATTAGCCTTTGGTCCCTGTGCAGACGTACGATCTAGATCAGTCCTTGTCTAGTGCTCTTCCCGTTCTTTCTGATCACTGCCGGCCCTTTCCGTGTGGTGTGGAGTAATTGTCAGGTGTGATTGGGGATGCACCTCTGGTCCGGAAGAGTAAGTGAGATGGTTTTCATTTTACCCGTGGTTCTTAGCAGAGCCCCAATGATACGTATATCTTTACGAGGGACTTAATAATAGGTGCTTTGAATAGCATTTATAAATGAATTTTAAGTGTCTTTGCCATCCCGTAAGTCCTATTCGATTTCCGCAACCCGAGGTTGCTAACTACTATAGTTGTACCAGGAATGAACTTTTTGAACGGGGCTCTGTACAAGTGGCTGTTTCCCTCTACTTTTTTTCATTTTTCAACGTCGAAACGGGTTTCAACTACTAAGACGATTCTCTAGTCTCTTGGCCATTTTTAATTTTCTTATTATCTTTTAGCAATGAGGATCGAAACTAACCTTATTGTCCTGCAGAGCAACTGGCAACCTCTGCGGATGAACCCGATAGAGGGGTTCCGTACAGACTATCTCTACAAGGCAGAGTTACTGATAGGTTAGAAAACTAATAAGTCCAGGCTGGATGAAAAAGCAGGAAACTGAAAACCTTACGTAAAACCGCTGATATTTGCTGCAGCCGGCCGAAAATATCACACTGCTTTCCCCTTTGACTGCCAATGAATCGATGAAGAATTTTCTTTTTTCGATCAAAAGAAAAGAGAGAACTAAATCTGGGGTTCATCTAGCGCCCGCACGCCTTCACAGGCAAACTGCTAAATGCAGTTCCTGGCGCAACGTGGCTGTCGTTAGTCACGGACGTGGATAGTTGGGACCCTGCCTGCATCTGCAGAACTTTCGAGAAGGCAAAGTCGAGAGGGAAAGAACTTCGCCCGTGCTTCGAGAACCCCTATTTCTTCATCCGCCCCGTTTTTCTTTTTCTCTCTCTTTCCTTTCCTTTTCCTTTCTTTTTTGCTGAGAAAGGGGACAAGGCGTGGCTTCATGCAAGGGACTATCTGAGGGTGAAAAGGCGCCGCAGACTGAACAGCTGACATCAAATGGCATAAAAGATTGGCGACGAACTACGCAGCAGCTCGGAGAATATTGCCATCTTTTTTTTTTTTTTTTTTTTTTAGCCATTCTTGAAGTCCAACTACCATACTAATATTTGTATTGTCCTCAAATATCTCCTTGTCTTGGCAGGCGTGGAAACTAATGCGCCATCTTCAGATAATTTTGATCCATCTTTTATAGCATTGTGCCAATCCGGGCTGATGCGTTTTTATTGAGGCTGTTGCGGGGACTTGCGTTCTCCTCTTTGTTGCATGCACATGTCCTCACCACCTTACCTGGGCTTTGCCAAGCATCCATGGATAAAGCTGGCTTGAGCATACGGAGTGTATAGATGCGTCGCATAAACATATAAATGGCTTTTCTTTCTTTGAAAGACTATGCATGCGCATGCAAGAATACCCGCTGGTGTATACAGAAACGTCGACTTCCCGCTGACCTGCGCACATGCACGAACATTATCAAGGATCCTTTACCCAGGTAAATTTGGTTGGCTTTACCTTCAAGTTAGTAGCGGCGGACACGGTTCAATACCTGATCCAAAATGAAAGATCCCACTCGACGCCAGTTTTTACACGCCGTGAGAACTCGAGGCTGTTCTTATGGAATAAGAACATGAGTTTCATATTTGGTTTCGCTTCAATTTTCATCCTGCACGCTACCGCTGCGTCATTTAATAATCATATAGTTGTTTCAGACAGGGGACTCTCTGCTGACTTGTTTGGTTCTGTTTTGCCTTGGTTGAATAGATGAGTAGATGGACCACTGTAATCTAGACGAGAGAAAGACTTGGGAGTGAAGGCTTCTCGGGAGGAGGTAAATATTTGACAAATCGAGCCCGCTACAGGGATATCCATGGATGATACTCCTGTACTTTGTTAGGCCACTGGAGCAAAAGAGCTCTCTCACACCAGCGCCATGCTGGTAGTAGAGGGGACGAACCAATCCAAACCCCCCAACATACTTAAAGCACAAGGGGATAGGAATGCTTAGTAATAACTATTTGTGCTTGGACAATCAATTCTTTCGATGTGGACCTGCCTTCCCTATGTTTCGTCAAATTCCCGTTTCATATCGTTTTCTTATTTCGTTTGTCTTTTTTTTACCTTTCATTCTTCTTTCGCTGAAACACAACCAAGGATTGTTCCCATTTTGCCTTTCGTCCCGTAAATACTAGGACAGTCTCTACTCTCGGAAACCTATCCTCACCTAACTGCGGTGAGACAGACATGCACCACTGACATCCCTGTTGACATAGATCTACTTCTCTGACGCGGTGGACGAGGTGGAATAACCGCTATCGACTAGACATTGCCGGGGGGTGGAGGATGGGGTTGGAATTTACCGCTACAGTTGGGGCGGTGGAACGAACACAAAACAAAACCCAAGCCAAAGAAAGCACCCCCTAGTCTCATTTTACCTAACAACCTGTAAACCCAAAGGGAAAAAAAATCTCGCGTAAGCAAGACAGAAAATAAAATGAGCTTATTTTGGACAAAAGTGGAAAGGGACTGACTGCCTGCTGCTAAATAACTTATCGAAAACGAAATCGGCCTATGTGTTCTTCCTGTGATTCCATCCCTGCAACACGCTGATTACAACACCAAATATCAACAGCAGCCCATTGAAGCCGGCAAGGAGGTAGAATGGTGACTTTGGAGAAATTTTATCTGAGAGGAGACCTCCAACTTTTGTGAGGAGTAGAATACCCGCTCCACCGCATAGCGAATACATTCCGGCAACCGAACCCTTGAGGTGGACTAAGTTGTTGCCGTTTGCTGATGGTGGTGACATAGATTTTGGGAGAAGGGCAGAGCCCTCATCTGAAACATGGTCTCTGGTGTCTATGAAGTTTTCTGACGCAGCGTGGTCGGTTGAATTTGTTTGTCGTCCATCCGGCTCATGATGGCATGAAATTGCTTCTTGGTAATGGTCTGGTCCAAGGACATGGGCACTGAGACCTGCAAGGCTGCAGACGATCGACCCGATCTGGCTGATCCCGACCAAGGCCATGGCGGCGAATATGACTGGACTCCCCTCCGGGCCGCGTATCTGGGGGGTTGGCAGGAGGGTTAGGAAAATATACCCAATTATTCCGGCCAGAGCAGCGGAGAGAAGGGGGACATTGTGTCGTTTTGATCTAGCTGAGAAATAACCAAAGATTGGTGCGAAGCAGAGGGCGGTAAGTTGCGCGACACCCGTCAACATTGAAGCAACAATGTAGGCCTTGGGACATGATTTTTTGATCTCACCCAGGCCAGTTTCTAATATGTGGAGTGGGCTACCCGGGACGTCTTTATCACAAAGACCAGAATACTTATAATATCGGTTCACATATAGAGGAATAAATAAGGAAATTCCAACGGTTGAGGCTCGAGCAACAAATCCGCCCAAGTATGCGAGTCCTATTCCGGGTTGTTTAAAGCCGAGCAGGAATGATGCGTTAAACTGTGATATGTATGATTTAGGAAAACATGACGACAAAGTCGAGCTTGATGTCGTTGTCATAGGACGGTGTAATCCATCAGAAGTATGCTCTCTAGGGTACCTAAACGGAGACCTCCATTCCGTGTATTGATCATCAGGCAGATTTCGTAGGCCGATGAAACAAACCGCGGAAATAACAAGTGAGAGCAGAGCGACCACATAGTAGCTCAGTTTGATGGACTGAGTGGGCGACCGCCCCGATTTCTCAAACCACGCCGGAAGAGGCAGGAAAACCAGCAAGGCAACCACGGCGCCACAACCCTGTAAGCATTCCAACGACGCCTGCCAAATATGAGGTGGAATCCTTCTCTGGCCGTTTTTCGCATGTTTTTGAACATGGAAATGTCGCCTGATAAAGTACTGGTGTTATAGTCAACTCTGAAGCGTTAGAAGGGCGAGGCGTATGGCCATGAATCCCTTGGGAGCCATCCAGCGGGGGAGGGCGCGCAGTTATTACAGAGCTCTGATCTGAAATTATAGAGGTGCCATCCAAGGGACTCCTGCTTGCAGTCATAGCTGGAAGAACAGCAGTTACCATGGTAGTTACTGCTGACCCACCGAGGCTGAACAAAAGCCTGCCTAGAAGGAGCTCGGGGTAAACATTTTTGGCTTGCACAAACAGAGCCAGCGCCAGGGCGATAATCAGATAGCCTACCGTGCATACCTTGACATATACATGTCAGAGTTTATGAAATAGCAGTCCAATGGATACTTCCAACTCACATATCTGACTCCAATCCGATCCGACAGCATTCCCCATACGGGACAAGCCAACAAAGCCAACAGCTCATCCGCGAACCCAAGCGTACCAATAGCATCACCTTCACCGGTTGGGAGCTTGATTAGGTCCGTAACCACGAAAGATATCGACGAGTTCAAAAACACGAGGAAGGAGATCGAGAAAAGGCAAACACCCAACAAGTAGGTTGCGGTCTGCAATTTAGTTGCCGTAAACATCATGCCGTGGGTTATGGCCGAAGTTTGTCACGCCCTGATCATGGAGAATTTAGCACCAAAACATTCAACCAGAGCTGTAGGAAACGTTGTAGTAGTCTAGAGACAGGGAATTCACCTCAATTATCATATTGGAGCGATCAATACTTTTAACTAAACCCTCAGCCTTCCGAGTGCACGTTCTGTGTTGCTGGCATTGACGTAGTTTGCCCTCCCTGGCCCAACGTAAGGTTCCAAGGTTGGTTCAGGGTTTAGCGCATCACATGACTGACAAAGACGCATCCAAAACGTGAATCCTCCGAGATTTATATAGAGACCTATTTCATACATAAAACTTGAGTTATTTGTGTAAATACTATTCAAAAGGGCCCTAGATTCCTCAAATTCCACTTCTCCAAAGAGTCCAATACAAATAATCGCATCGACCGTGCAAAGCGACTGGACAATTTGCGCGTCCGCCGCGGAATATTAACACGTGATTATGTTTAGTCATTTTTGAGCTAACTCAGCATTTTGAGTGCTCTGATTGGCCCGTCATTTCCCCTCAGGTCTCCTACCGGCGTCGATGATGATAGCTGGCATGAAAGTCCGTTAATCTCTCGCGCGACAGTTTTCGAAGTCGACCGGCCGTGGGCAAAGCAGAACACCCACCCTGGTTTTTTGGTATTTAATTTTAACCATGTCTTCATAAGCCACTATTTTTCTTGATGTGTTTTTCTTTTTCCTAGCTACAAGCCTCAGCCCAGAGAAACGAACGGGGTCGGCCGCCATGAGGTTGGCAGCATATGCTGGGGTATGACATATACGATATTTCTATTCCCGTGAACGGACATGCGAAGTTGATTCTAACTATCTCCTAGGCTTCGACAGTCCTAGCTGCTGGTGTGATCCTTAATGCCTTGCACCAGAGAGCGAACTTTTATTCTGCCTGTGTCTATCTCTCCCAGAGCACAGCGAACCTCATGGTATGTGTTTGATAGTTGCGGTTAAAGCTCAGCGTGGATAAACTGGCTAATGATAGCCGCAATTTAGATCCTAACGAACTTCTGCCTCTTGATCGTCGGATTCCTGCTATATGGACTTCAGAAATTGTTATATGGCCCCCTCCGCCCCATCGAAACGGAGCAGCTGTATGAAAGGGGTTGGTTTGCCGTAACGGAAACATGTCTTGCGATGACCATATTTCGTGGAGAGATAGGAGCTTGGTTTTTGGTCATGTTCGTTTGCCTTTTTGTTGGTAAAGTCTGGGGATGGATCGGAGAGGGTCGAGTGGAAATACTTGACCAACAACCTCCGCAACGGCCCCGTCTTTTCCATACGCGGCTGGCACTTTCCCTGATTTTGGCCGTCACATTCAACACCCTCATGCTCGAGTATGCCGTGAAGACCGTGCTCCGCAACGCCCGACCCGACATGATGGTGATGTTTGGATTCGAGTTTGCTATCCTCTCGATCCTCTCGACCTCGACCGCGGCGAGATATGGTATCTCCCTCTGGGAGCTCTATGTTACCAGACAACAGCGGCACGCGAAGATGGAGGAACGAAGAGCAGAGATTAGAGCAGCGAGAGCAGAAGCTATCCGGCAACAGTCGAGCGCCGGTCCGCAGGAACTTTTAAATACCTTACCTAGCGAGGATGACATTGATGAAATGGAGCTTGACGTTCCAGGTTGGGAGGAAAAGGGCCGATGGATATTTTATCTTGATCTTGCAACTGGTGGGTATAATCATAATCATAATCACTATTGTTGGCTTCTCCAACAGAATTGCGCAAGCTGACCAAAATTGTAGACTTTCTAAAACTTGTCGTTTATCTGTCCTTCTTTGCGATACTTTTCACCTTCTACGGCCTACCAATCCATATTCTTCGAGATGTTGTACTTACGATGAGGTCATTCGGGAAACGAGTTGTTGACTTCCTTCGTTACCGTAATGCCACGAGGGATATGCATCAACGCTACCCGGATGCAACTGCGGAAGATATTGCCACAGGGGATGTATGTATCATTTGTCGCGAAGAGATGGAGCCTTGGCCACCTGCGGCTGCTCCAAATGGTGAAGCCGGTCCGGCTAGACCTTCTGGGCCTGTTTCGGATCGATTACGACCGAAGAAACTTCCCTGCGGCCATATACTCCATTTTGCATGCCTTCGTAGCTGGCTTGAACGCCAACAAATCTGCCCAACTTGCCGACGACCTGTTGCCTCAGCTGCAATACGTCGAGATTTCAGTGCTACGCAGGGGATTGCAGGTCCTGGAGGCCCTGGAGGAGATGGCTAATGGCGGTGTGGGGGCTCAAAATCAGCCTCTCGAGG